AGAGAGAGGAAGCAGGCTCCCCGCTGAGCAGAGAGCCCGATGCGGGACTCGATACCAGTACCCAGAGATCATGACCTGAGCCGAAGGCAGCGGCTTAACCCACTGAGCCAGCCAGGCGCCCCTTATTATTATTTTTTAAAGATTTATTTATTTTAGGGAGAGAAAGAGAGTACACAAGCAGGGGAGGGACAGAGAGGGGAAGAGAGAGAGAGAGAGAGAGAGAGAGAAAATATCCAGCAGATTCCCTGCTGAGTGGGCCCAGACTCTTGGCCCTGAGAACATGACCCAAGGTGAAACCAGGAGTCTGGACACTCAACTGGCTGAGCCACCCACACGCCCCTCAGTTATTTTGGGGTCCCAGAATGCAATACCTCCAAATCTTTTCACATGCTGTCCTTCCATTTGGAAGACCCCCTTTCCCAGTCTAACCCCTTTACATGACTACGTCCTACTACTCCATATCAGCTTATAAGCCACTCTCTGTGAAAGGATTTTCCTGACTATTCTTCCACCTCCAAATTAGGTGTGTGCTTTCAGAGCATTTTGTGCTTATCCCCTCTTTCCCATTTGTATTCTAATTGTCTGCCTACCAGGCTTTATTACATCCTCCTACAGTCTGTGAGCTCCTTGAGCGCAGAAACCACATCTCATGTGCTGTTACAATCCCTGAAGGGCTTTACATGCCTTATTTTGTTTAATCAGCACAAACACCCTTTACGGTAGGTACCATATCATTCCTATTTTACAAATGAACTGAAGCAAAGAGAGTTGAGGAAACTTGTCCTGAGTTACCAAAATAGATAAAAATCAGAATTTAAAAACCAGACAACTTAACACTAGAACCAGTCGATTGCTAAATCCTTCACCTTTAATTTAAATCCCTTCTCCACACAATTTGGCAGTAACCTCCCTGAAACACAGATCTGACCAGGTGTTTTCTTTGCCATCCCCTCAGTGGTCCCTAGGACTGCCTGCCTGCCATATCCTCCATCATCTGGCTCCTGTCTACCGTCTTGGCTGTGGATCAGCCCCTCCCTAGGACTCAATCTTGTTGCTGAAGCACCACCATTCCACACTGTCTCGTTCTTCTCTAAGCGTTGGTCTATCAAAAATGCCCCTTATCTCCTTATCTTTTTGGAGAAGCCCTGTTCCTCTCTCAGAACTTACTTCATGAAAGTCTTCCTGATCACTCTTTCCCCAGCCCTTTGCAGCTATTGGAGTGACTCGTGCCTCCACTCTCAGAAGCTATGGGACTTGGGCAAGTTATTGTTTTAGTTTCCTCATTTGTGTAATGGCAGCAGGATGACCGCCTACTCAGAGAACTGCTGTGAGGAATAAATGAGAGGATGTAAGTTAAGCACGTAGCATGGGGCTTGACACATCCTAAGTACTCAAAACATTTAGCAATTACTTACTCATCCCTCTATCTCTATGTAGCTAGGCCTCTACAACCCAAGTGTAACACTATAGTGTGGTTTCTTCAGGTGGAAAAAGAAAGTACCCACATATCACTTTTATTTTAGCACAGTGACTGGCATATTTTGGACTTTTATTAAGTAATTGAACTGGGCCTTGAAAGACGGGTGGTACTTAAATAGTCCAGTTCAAGGGGCACCTGGGTGGCACAGTCGGTTAAGCCTCTGACTCCTGGTTTTGGCTCAGGTCAGGAGATCTAGCCCCAGGTCAGGCTCTCTGCTTCCTATCCCTCTGCCCCCACTCTCTAAAAATAAATCTTTAAAAAATAATAGTCCAGTTCAATTTCCATTTCCACCAGTAATATTTACCTAATGATTCTAGCCCTTTGGATTTTCCCTTCTGAGAATCTGTTTTTATTTTTTAAGATCTTATTTACTTATTTGACAGAGAGAGAGAGTGAGAGGGCACAAGCATGGGGAGAAAAAGGCAGGAGAGGGAGAAGCAGACTCCCTGCTGAGCAGAGAGCCCATCCCAGGACCCTGGGATCATGACCTGGGCAGAAGTCAGACACTTAACCAACTGAACCACCCAGGTGCCCCTGCAATTTTTTAAAAAAAGATTTATTTGAGAGAGAGAGAAAACCCAAGCGGACTCTGCCCTGAGCGTGGAGCCTGATGCAGGGCTCAACCTCATGACCCTAACTAAGATCACCACCTGAGCGGAAACCAAGAGAATTCTTTTACCACAGCCTGACAGCATGATGCTATGGTCTTGCATCATATGTTGAAGTGTTGTTTCAGTGAAGCTCCAAGTTCCTCCAGGGCAGACACCATCTCTTATATTGTCTATCTGCCCAACAATAGCTGATGTTTCTAATTGCAAAGTGAGTGTTCAACAGTTAGATGTGAATGAACAGATTGGCCCAAGCATTGGATGCCTCTACCTTATCATTAGTGAGTCCCCCATCTCTAAGAAATTTCAGCTAGCAACTTATCTCCTGATTCTCCTTCCCTTGGCTCTTGGCATTCTGCTTAGAACATGAATTTGCATTTATTTTTGTGCTTCCGTCCTGGCTTAGCTTCCCTTTCCTTGGTAACTTCCCTCAAGGCCCAGTAGAGGGCACTACGCACCCCAGGGCTGCTTGTGTGGGTGCTGCTCGCTCACTGCAGATCTTCTGAAAGGCAGCTCTCCAAGTTATTTGTCTTTTGCCCGAGTTTTTCCATGCCCAGGCCACATCAGCTTAAAATAAATGCTGCTGGACAATAATCATGGTGACTTCATCCCTGCCACCCTGTGTATCAGATGGCTGAGAGGCTTGTCAGCAGAATCATCACTCAGCCATGTTGGAGGGAACTCTTGACTCCATTCTTTGGAATATGGGCAGGAATTGCACTTTGAAGCAGTGCAGAGCAGTCTGTTCTGGTTGCATGGCGGCACAGTGTGGGAATGAGGGAGAAGGGATGGCAAGGTTTTATACTGTAACAGAGACTATCACAATCCTTTCTTGGCACCCCAGGATTCCTAAGACTACAGCTTAAAACCAAGGACCAGGAAAGCCAGGTCCTTGGTTTTAATAATGGAAAAGTCATATAAAAGCCTAGATAGAAGGCGCCTGGATGGCTCACTTGGTTGAGCATCTCGGCTCAGGTCTTGATCTGAGAGTCCTGAGTTCAAGCCCAGCACTGGGATCCATGCCCAGCATGGAGCCTATTTAAAAAAAAAAAAAGCCTAGATACTATCTCAAGCTCTTCAGTGAACTAACTCTGCCACCTTATAAGTAATTTATCTTTATACTTCTACTTATCTGTATTAAAAATGAAACTGCACTGAATGATCCCACATTCAGCCTCACTGATCTCACTCCCCAGCTGTATCCACCTGGCAAGCATACACTAGAGATGGCATGCTCAAAAAGTCATGGGACTGGTTTAAGGGGAATAAGGATGAGAAGACTCGCTAACCCCACCACAGTAAACATTCTACAGTGTGTGTGTGTGTGTGTGTGTGTGTGTGTGTGTAGCTCCTAGTTTTGAGTTTATAACTTCTGAAGTAGTATGTGAACTTCCACTTAACTTTTCTTCCACAAAGGCAATAAACCCCACAAAGGCAGGGAATGTTTTTAATGCATCTCCATACCACTAGCTTACTCAGAAAGGCCAATGGTTGGGAGGCATCACAATCCCCTGGCTAAATCAGGAGAGAACAAGTCAGTAACATCCTGAGTAGCTGAACATATTTGGAAAACTTCTGATTAAGGAGAAAGAATGAGTTAGATGCTGAGAACAACATTCCTAGTCCGGTTTGGAAGTATCCTTCCCCCTCAGTGAGCTCAAGAGTTGTCTGGAATATCTAGGCCTACTGGACCTTGTTTATCTTCCTTGGTGCATACTCATTTGAGAAGCCAATCACATTTGGGAAAATATACTCTCCTACTCAAAGCTGCATAAAATGGGCAAGTAGACTACCACATGTGAATGTTGTGTGTGTCAGGGAGACAGAGGTGAGTTTTTTGGTATCTTTCTTTTCTACAATACATTCATAAGCAGTTTTTAAATTCTTAAAGTGGCAGGATTCTGGCCATGCTTGGGAAGTGGTGAGGAAAGGAGTCACTCTGCCCCGCGCTGGCCACAAGCAGAAAGGCTTGAGTTCCTTTGGGCTTATTACTAGAGGTCACATTTCTCCTTCACAGACAGAACTTATGAAAGAATGGAAGACTGAAAAGGGAAAAAGCGAGAGTGGGCTTTTCTTTTTTGCTTAGCCTGAACTAAACTCTAGGTGTTATAAACTATTTAGATCAAATCCTTCATTTTGTGAGCCAAAACCTGAGGCTGATGCATCTTCTACATTAGCTATAGAAACAAAAGGACAGAGAGGAGTCAGGAAAAGTTCAGATTTATATGCTAACATCCCTAATTCCTTCTCCCCGAGTGATGGAAGCAGGGAGCCCAGTCATATCCCATATTAAGGGCCCCTATTCCTTAGAACTCAAGGCCCCACACAGCTTCTTCCCTGAATGGTGTCTTATTTTCATTTTCTTCCCTTTCCCCAAACCCCAATAAAACACACCAACTGCTTCAGAATATTTCTGGGTTGTGTTTTTTTGTGGGTCGTTGTCTTTTTTTTTTTTTTATTTCAAATACTGAAAAAGTCTCCTGGGCTCTGTGGGGCTCCCCACGCTCATGGCCCCCTTTCCCCACACTCACTGCCCTTCTCCCCACAGCAAATCTATTTCAAGGACAGCACTTTTTTCAGTGAACAATTAACATTAACTGTGTTCTCAGCTTGCTCTGCAGAACCAGAGGAGCTGTTTCCATCCGTCATATATAGATGGACAGTTTTTTTTTTTTTTTTAATCTGACACCAGATCCCCAGCCACATCCAAGCAAACAAGGCATTTTTCTACAGAGCTAAATTAGAACTCCTCATCTGGAGTCTATGCCATTCCTCCCCCTCACACCCATCCCACACCAGCCACATGGTTAGGAAGGATAGTCAGGAATGTTTTTATCAACTCCAAGCCCTATTTCATATCCCCCACAAATTTCCCACCCCACCCTCTCAAACACCACACCCACACCCCCCCCCCCCCCCCCCCCCCCCCCCAGGATTTCACTGAGATTTCTCCCAACAGTTATTTGGAAAAAGGTAAAACAAAAAAGGTTCAGGGTCTTGGTGCTCAGCCCAAGGGGCTCCATGCGCTGGGACACCGACGGGCAGGGGCTTCTGCCTCTCCAGCCCGCACCCGAGCCACCTCCTGACCCCTGGCTGCAAAAGCAGGGAGGGGGAGGAGCCAGCACAGGACCCAGGAGGGCAGCGTCTCAGGATCTGGCGGAGCCCCGGGCAACATCATTCAACTTGGCCACTGCGGACGAACACAGAAGAAGAAAAAGAAAACACTGTCAAGTAATAGGGGAAAAAACCCGATGTTCCATCCCAGTCCCTACCCCATGACTCTTCCATACTTAACAATCATTAGGCTACCTGGCACAAGCCTGAATCCAATCCACTGAGAGTTGAAGAGAAGACAGAGAGACAGAGGAGAAGGGAGAGGGAAGAGGGAGAAAGAGGGCCGAGGAGAGGGAGAGAGACGGAGAGAAGAGGAGAGAGGGAGAAAAGGGGAGGGGAGAGAGAAAGAGGGGGAGAGAATTTCAGTTTTTTTCTATCCGCAAAACAAAGTGTTCTCCATCTTTCTGGAAATACCCATGAAAGCAATACAGAAAATTCTTTAGACAAGATCAAAATAACTCGAGGTGTGCAGGAGATTAAGCTGCCTGGCTTAGGGCAGGCTTGGTTTCACAGGCATGGCACAGCCAGCTGCAACAACAGCAGAGGATAATGGGGACACACACACAGTGATGAGGAGGGGACAGCATGGAAGCTGGGGCCTGGCAATACACATGTTGTTCTGAGTGGATTTAATAATCTAGGTTTAATCGAAGTGATTTGGATTTGGATTTGGGAATGACCCTTCTTTGCCATGAAGTGATGTATTTCATACTGTAGAAACAGGTGGCAAATACACAATGTGGCTCGTTTCTTTGTTTTCTTAGCCTTGAAGACGACCAGGTACAGAGAGCAAGCAAGACCAACAGTTTCTGATTTCCCTATTTCCTCTGTTCCTTCCTAAAAAAACAGACTCGTGACCTCAGTCTTGAGGATTCAAATGACCAATAGAGAAGGCAGCTCGGACAGAAAAGAAAAAAGTACAAAATTCGAGAGGATCGGAGATGAAGAAAATGTACAAAATTATATATATATTTATATATATAATAACATGACATATCTATATGTACAACATGGCTGCGACAGTTGAGGAAACTATACAAGGATGTTCAGCAATTTCCCCTTCCCACACAGACTTTAGACTAAGGAAGACAGCATGAGGAATGGAGCAAGAAACACAAAAATTATATACAAGTGACAGTCAAAGGAGTCTGGGGGCCAGGGAATACAGGGATCCTGCTCTCTCCATTCCTTCCTCACCAACTCCCTCCTATCCAATCTGAGTGACAGCCTGAAAAGTGAATGGCCAGTCAGGAAAGAAGTATACACACCTGCCATCACCCCACATGTGCATCAGCAAGTTCATGGTCATTCTCATCAGGCCAAATGTTTGGCGTATCAGAATTTATGAGGTGAGAGGGCAAGAGAGGATTACAGAATCTTGCTCTCCTGAACAGTTGGTTCTTTTCCTGGCTGTCTCTATGCTAACCAGCAGTAGGATTCAGGCCAAGTTAAGTAGGTTGAAGGTGCCGGCCACTAGCACCACTCTCCCCCACCTGCTCACGAGTCCGCATTGCTGCTACTCATTGCACAGGGGCTGAGTTACCTACCTCTAGGATGGCAGAGCTTTCTCTCCCTGATCACCTTCTTAAGGTGAATCATCTTCCTAAGAACCTGCTGCTCTAGCCTTGCCACAGTTCCAAGGCCTGGAGGCTGGCTTCAGCTTGTCCCTTTTCTTTTGTTCTCCCTAACAACACACCTGGCATCTGACTACATCTGAAACGTGGAACTCCACCACATATGTGTGACTGAGCATGTGTCCTCAGGCCCACAGCTGGGCTGCCACAGCAGGTTTTTGTAGCAAAGGTTCAGACTGGAGGCCAGGAGAGTGGGTGGGGCCAGAGGCAAGAAGCTTCCATAGAAGCTAGCTAGCTTAGAACTTTTTCCTTGACCCTTAAGACTACGATACTTCTGAGGCCTTCTTGACTGAATCTGTACCTCCCAAATCTCAATGTCCTCTCTCCGCATGCAGTCCTCAAATGGTTCCCCTCTGTGGGCTCAGCCACAGGTCTTCCTCATTTAGTTTTACAAAAATAGCAAAGACTTTTTTTTCAGCTGGCAGTTAAATGAATTTTAAATTTGAATCAATCCTATCTATATTCACTTCTGTTACAGATGAGGAAATAGAAATCCATAGAGGTTAAATGACTTGACCAAGTTTACACACCAGTTCTGCTCAGAGGGCAGCTAGAACCCACATATCTTAACTCCAAACCCAGTGCTCTTTCCACTACCCCATACTTGCAAAAGCAACATGCTGGAAGAGAGAGAGAAGGTACCCATTTCATGTAAATGATGTGCTCCAATCTTTACATTATGTAAGAGCCAGGGCCAACTGTCAGAGACTCTCTGAGTAAGGGAGGTTAAGTGGGCACTGCAGTTTTAGGCAAGCAAACCACTTTTTCTTTTTGAGGATTCTCTAAACCTGCCATAATGGAAACACGAAGCAATAGCAGCCTAAGGGAAAAAAACACTTAGAAGCACAGAAAACAGATCTCATTCACTCTACCTTTCCCAGCTATGTCAGGTTAGCCTCTGGATGTAAACCTACCGAATTATTCCCAAGACTTAGCCCAGCCAATTTTGGGATAGTCTCTTCCAAAAGGAAAAATCACATCTCCGCAGTTTCTCATACAAAAGAAAAAAGAGCATTTGCAGCAATATCCAATCCTAGTCTCTCACTCCTGGCTCCCTACCTGGGCTACAGTGAGGGTGTGGAAATGTCAATTTAATCAAAGAAATGAACTCAGAACCCCTTTCCAACCCACATCACCTTCTTAGCAGCCCCCAGCAGAATCACAGTCATTTCTGGCTAGCAAGCTGAGAAGAGCTAACTAGCGCTCATTCCATCCCTGCTTAGGATATATAAAAGTCCAGTGGGTGAGGAAGGGGACAGAGGGGGGGCCCAGGTTACCCCGCAAGCTTGCTGGTGACGAGAGAGGACTTTCTCTGGGGAAGATCCTGTGGGGTGGGGATGTGGTCGCCAGTCACGAGGTTCTTGTCTGGTCCTGCACTTGGCAGCTGCTTATTCTTCATCTTGGCTTTGGCCATGTTGTAGTCTCCTGAGTCAAAGTACTTTTGCTAAGAGACAAGAGGGATGTTTTAAGTGAGTGAGGAACTCTGGCCTACCTCAAAAGCAAGGAGACTCACATCCATTATAAACCCTCATCATCTTAGATCTTTCCAGTCTTCCTTGATTAACCTCATGCACACAGAGTTTAGCATTAAGTACATGTACTATGTCTTCTCCCCTTTGTGTTCTGACCTTTTCAGGTATGTAAGTAGTTTCCTTGCTACAGTATAGATTTTAGGAGTTAAGAGATAGCCCCTACATCCTTTATACACCCATCAGTACTGTATGGTTCAACCAAATTACTGACTATTCATAAAGGCTTACTGAGGACCGGTCAGTGTCCCAATGATCTGGTGCCAAGGAAATAAATAATAAGATATAAAGAAGCATCAATCTGGCAACCTCAAGTCAACAATCTCAAAATTAGAAATGATTCCCTCAGACCATGAATAGAAACTGGGCTTATTCATGAGGATAATGTACTTTTCCTCTGACTCCCACTGCTCCCACACATGTTCCATGGCTGTGACAGCCTGCCCACGCCTGCCTTGCCTACAGCAAGGTAAACTGCAAATCAGCATCACATCATCATCTGTGACTAAGACTCAATAACTAGGATTCTCCACAGGGAATCTGTTTTACTGTCCATTTCATCCATACCTAGGAACACACTCCAGTCTAATGACTTATAATCCCTCAGTTAGTTTTAGGTACCTCTGGGGACAGAGAAACCTGATCAGGAGCTATATGGCTATGAAGGCGCACCCTCTCTTGGTGAGGAGGGCTTGGTGAGGAGGGCTACCCTGGATGAAAAAATGTCTCTTGAGGGAGTACAGTTAATGACTGGTACTAATTTCAAGGGTCTGAAGAAATCTATTCATTTCAAGTTGAAGAAGTCTAGAGGACAGATGGTATGATCTTTTTTTGAAATCATGCACCCCAAAATTTAGCTCTCATCTTAAAAAGTACAGTCCTAAAACTCCCACCATCTAAACACACATATGCCTGGGGAAGTCAGCATTTCAGTTTCTAATGTCCTTCTTTCCCTCAATCCCCTAATGCCCCTATACCCAAATGTTTCAACATTAAGCCTTAATATCCTGTTTGGTACCATATCAGGGATTTATAATCATTTGCCTTGCTCTTTACAAGTTTCTAATTGCTCTCTACTACTGCCCAACAACAAAACCTCCAGATAAGCATTTAGGAGAAGCTCTACAGTTGTCATCCCAAAAACCCCCTTTGGCTCCAAAATTCTTATAAGAGATTGTGTCCCATACCCCTTTCTGGAGTCTCTTCATGAGGAAGTCAGAGCCTCCAGGCTTTTGTCCTAGGCTTGGATATTTGGCCTTTAGCTTTGCCTCCTCGGCTCTCTCAGGGAGAATACCTTCTTTCTCCTGTGTGTCCTGGAGGAAACAAATGGGCCAATTATATTAAAAACTGAGAAGCAACTGCTTCTAATATCTAATAACTTTTATACTATTAACTTTTCCTAGTGATCCACCTCTTGTAAACATTGTTTCTGTTCTGCTCCCAAATAAAGCTAGAACTTTGTTCAAATCCATGAAGTTCAAAATGACTGTATTGTGAGGAAACCCAGTGCCCCCCCCAAAACCAGCTGCTTCTCACACTACACCTAAGGAACCACCCCGACCTGGGAGTATTGGATTAAAGATAACAGCTAAACAAAATACTTCAATCAAGAGCACACTATAGCTCATTAAGCAGAGAAGCTAGGGAAGACAAAGAGAGAAAAATGCTAACCAGGGCTTCTGGTAACCCAAGATGAATAGGAAAGTTCCCTGGCTGTCCCTAACACGCAGTATAGGTCAAACATAAAATTAAATGGGATAATTCTACTGAGATGTTCTCTTTTCCAGAGTCTAAGGTAGTCATCTGATGAGTCTCTCTATGGAGGAGACTGGAGCTATGTGGCCTCCAAAAACCTCCACCTTAGTAATGGAACAACATTGCTTCAGTATTTCCATAAACATTAGGTAGGAAGGTGACAGGTAGACAGAGATGAAAATGACACTATTTTTAAGCTCAGGAAAATTAAGATATAGGAGGTTCACTAGTATTTACTCACAGTTGTTGCCAAAAAGTCAACACCTTCCCAAGTGGGGCAAGTGATGGAAATTTGGGGAACATGCCAAGAGCATTCAATTGGTTTGCAGGAGGGTCACACTGTTGTTATTACTCTTTTGCTTTTTGTGAGCCCCGATGCTCTTTTCTTTGATGGCTTTTTTTTTTTTTTTTTTACAAGAACCTAAAGCCAAATTTGTGGCTCTTTTAATGCAATTATATTCCCTTCCCTTGACAATCCGGCAGTTATAACCAGCTGCCTTTCACGAACCTCTGAGCTCCGTACTAAATGTTGTAAGTCAAATACAAGCCCCAAGAAGAGATTTACTTGGGGTATTTTCATCAGAGAATTGTGGGTGAACTAAGTTCCACCGCCCTGGAAGTCGGGGTGGTGGTGGAAAGAGGGTGGCGTCTTTCTTGTCACGACTCTTTTGCTGTCTTTTCTAGGTTTAACCTCCATTATTCTTTATGGAACTCTAGTCCTCTTCAAGCCTATTCGTTCCTGACTTGAGTGTGGGCAACCGACCATCCCTAACCGTCAAAATAGGTCTCTCGAGAAAGTTGCCGCCTTAAACTAGCCATAATAGTTACTTCTTCTTTCTTTTCGGTGCCGATCTTTTAAACATCTTTACCTCCACCTCTAGCTTTCTGATGCTAGGCCCTGGCCCGGGTTGTTGGGTCATTTACCCCCACTGACCAATAACACACATCGCTTCCCAATACCACCGGCCCCCTTTCATTCACCCAGTGTTTCCAAACACCCGCCCCGTGCCCAAGCTTGGCCAATGACAGCACAGCTTCAATAAATAGAGCGGTAGGCTTATTGGCCAATCAGAAAGAGCAAGGCACTGACTGACAATGGGCCCAACCAATCAGCGCCAGAGCTGCAAGCTGTGTTGAAGCTCACCCGGCGTGATGCAAGTAGTGGCCAACCCCTGTAGAGCTTGAGACCATGGCGACCAATCCGCACTGGTGGGAGACCGTCTCCCGCCCCTCACAGTCGCCCCCGACTCGCCCGCCCGCACCCCCTCCATTTCACCTGCTTCTCCTCGCCGGTCTCCTCCGCAGGGTTCTCCTCTTCTTGTTTCTGGGACATGGCGGGACCAGGACTGTGGAGTGTAGGGGGCCCGGGAAGTCAACCGGAGAAGGGAAGGGGGAGGGGAAACGGGGACAACCTGCGCTGCTTCTTCAGCTCCTGTCACTAGGGTTGCTCAGTCAAAATGGCGGCCCTTGCCTGTGACGTTGTGTCCGCCCCTTCCAATGGGAGCCAATGAGAGTGGGGTAGCTGGGACAATGACGTAACGATCTACCAATAGTTACTGGCTAAAGGTGGGTTCTTTGGAGGCGAAAGGCAAGCTGGAACACCAATCTGGAATGAGAGTGAGCCCCAAGGACCAATTGGAAGCCCGTGGGGGATCCTAGGGGCGGCGCTGCTAGCCTTGGCATTTTTGCTCCTTTGGTGGGACCAGATTTCCATCAGCTCTAGCGCTTGGTGCCCGGAAGGTTTTGCTGGGCTTCGAATTGGAGAGCGGAAGGATGGAGACCGTTTACTTTCAGATGGAGAGGATTAAGCTTTGCGCAGTGTTAGCAGAAAATTATCAATCTCCAGAAAATAATTTGGAGGTCAGGGTGCACCTTAAGTTGGTACTGATCACTATTGCGGATGTACTTGGCGTGTGGTACGGAGAGACTGGGACCCCCAAACCAAGTTGTCTTGCACAGATGGCTTTACGTTCCATGATTTAACTCATCTGTACAGTTTTATACTTGTTCAAGGTCAGCCCATGGAGAATAAGTTCTTGAAACGGAAAGCACAGTTCTAGGTACATGGTAAACATTTAGTAAATACAGTTAACATTAGTTAATGTATCCTGAGTCACAGTTCAACAGTATTTGAGTGTTTGTGTGTAGATGGTAATGTATTAGTTTTACAGCGGTACATACAGAGTAAGACAGTCTCTGCCCTTAGAAAGCTTAGTTTAGTGGGCATGAGGGGAGGGTTTTCACAGTGTGCCAGGTGTAGCCTAAATCCCTAAGAAGAGATTTTAGACACGTCTTACTGGAGCCTTAGTCCACAGTTTTATATTAAAAACAAACATTAGTTTAAGACTGATAACACTGCAAAAATTCATACTAAAATTTAATTTTCCAGGCAGCTTCTTGTGACAGTCTTGGGGCTATCTGCTCAATTTTCTGTATAATTAGGTGTACTTCTGGAAAAGTCCGGAAGCACTGTAAATCACAGATTATTATAAAAGGCAAAATCTGGTAAGCATTGAAATAAAAGTGTTAAAGTGCTTATAGGGGTTCAAAGGAAGACTAATTCAGTTTAGATTCCACACCCCCAGCCCGCAAAAAGACTTCATGAAGGGGGTGGTATTTGAAACAAGTTTTTTTTGTTTTTGTTTTTAAAGAGAGAATGTGGGGCATGGGGGAAGAGGCAGAGAGAGAATCTTAAGCCAGCTCCATACCAGTGCAGAGCCTGAAGTGTGTTGGGGGGTGGAGGCTCCATCCCATTACTCCAAGATCATGATTGGAGCCAAAATCAAAAGCTGGACCCTTAGCCAACTGAGCCACCCAGGCACCCCAGAAATAAGTTTTAAAGAACTTAGCAGTTTGCTGGGTAAAGATGAAGGCAAGAAAGGTATTCTAGGTACAGGGCTCAAAATGAAGGCCAGAAAAACAGAACTGAATGCAGATATGTAGGGCTTTAAATGCCAGGATAAGGAACTTGTGAATAATTTAGTAAGCCATCTGAGACATTTAAAATTTTTAGGCCAGAGAGTGGCAGATCAGAACTGCCCTTTAGGAAGATTAATGTGGAGGTAATGAATAAAAATAATTCAGAATTCCAGGCAGAAAGACACCAGAGACCTGGCCCTCTAGCCAGGGGTGTACTGCAATATTCTAGGTGGGAGATAATTGGGATTTAAACTAGAGAGTGCAGTGCTTGCTTCGGCAGCACATATACTAAACTAGAGAGTGTAGAAAACTCTGAATCTAACTGAGAAAGTCTTTGGCAATGGAGTATTTGGGATTAACAGCTGAATGCATATAGGTAATTAGGACCCCATGTGCTTCAGGATTACTACAGAAACAATAAATTCAAGAAGAAGGGTGCCTGGGTGGCTCAGTCATTAAGCATCTGCCTTTGGCTCAAGTCATGATCCCAGGGTCCTGGGATCAAGCCCTGCTTGGTGGGAAGCCTGCTTCTTCCTCTCCCACTCCCCCTGCTTGTGTTCCCTCTCTCGCTGTGTCTCTCTTGTCAAATAAATAAAATCTTAAAAAAAAAAAATTCAAGAAGAGGAGTCAATGTGGGAATGGAATTGGAAATGGACATAAGATGAGGTATTTCATTTTGACTTTTTAAAACCAGTGGGCCATTTTGTGGAGATATCCAGGCAATGAAGCCTTAGATAAAGACTTCTGAGATCTCCAGAGCTAAATATTTCGAGGTCTAGGAAATGTAGACCTAGAGTTTGGGAGAAAAGTAGAAGGTAATTATGAATAAAACTTCTTCACATAAATGTAAATAAAGTTGTGGAAGCAGATGATATCACCAAAGGAGAAAGAGATAAAGAGCCCCAAGATGGAAACCTGGGCAAAAGGTGGCAAAGGGACACAGACACACAAGATCAAAGGGGTAAGAAGAAGAACGAGGAAAAAAGTGACAGAGAAATTAAAGATGGAGAGGACAGGGGCACCTGGGTGGCTCAGCTGGTTAAGCATCCAAGTCTTGATTTCCCTTGGGTTAGATCTCGAGGTCCTGGGATCAGGCCCTGTGTCACCCCCAACTTCCGCTGAGCTCTGTGCTTGGCAGGGGCTCTGCTTGAGGATTCTTTCTCTACCTCTCCCTCTGCCCCTCCCCACAGCTTGTGTGTGTGTGTGTGTGTGTGTGTGTGTGTGTGCTCTCCCTTTCTCTCTAGAGTGAATAAATAAATCTTAAAAAAAAAAGATGGTGGGGACATAACTACTTGCATGTGGTTAAAGAGTGAGGAAGTGGTAACAGTATTGAACAGCAAGGCAAAGAAGGGAATCAGAGCAATGAATTGAAGAGGGAGCAGTAGAGGATTTTCTTTTTTGGAAAACAGTAAAGATTCAAGCACGTTTTCAGAAAAGGTAAGGATCTAATTGAGAGAAACTAAAAATGTAATTATCCATTTTAAAGAGGAGATAATGAAAGAATTAAAGTCTCAGAAGAGATCATTAGATCAAGAGGGAGAGAGGCAGACAGGCTGGAGGGGAAATGTACAGAGAGATCTTGAAGTAGCTAAACATTTAGGGAGGTTACATTGAATGGCCTTGCTCTCTGAGATCAATCTTTGGAGAATAAAAAGGATGGAAGGGTGGGATAGAGAATCTAGGGAAAATGGGGGGTAGTAACAGCACTATAGAAAATAGCAATGGTTCAAAACAGCAAGAAAGATCTGAGATTGGATGGGTCTGCATTTGTAATAGTCCTAATCACCGGGGCTTTGGTCACTAACTCCTGACTGCCTTGGAATGGAGAAAACAGACATCCTGTTAACAAGGGCAAAGGACTGCAAAAGAAGGAGCAGTGGAGGGAGGACAATGAGGAAGTCTAGATTGCTTTGCTGGTTTGTTGGTCATCTAGGCTTTTCAGGAAAGACAGAATAGAAAGGAGATGAAGAACTAGCCATGACACAGGTGAAGCTCAGATTTGGTGGGAATGACAGGAGGAGGCAGAAGAGTAGGAGGTTGCAGTGAGAGGGGAATTTCACTGTGTATCTAAGAAGGTGGAGAAATTATAGGTTATGATGAGCTCTAGTCTATAATTATAATTGATGGCAGATATGGCATGGCTATAAAGTCACTGACTTTGATGTGATCAAGTAAATGTGAGGTCACAAATGTGGAAGTCTCAGAGCATAATCATAGGGAAGGAGGTTAGGATGGGGTAACTGTGACCTCTATGTTGAGAATGAGCTATAGGTCTCCAACACATATATGTTATTTAAATACATAAGGCACCACATTGTAATAGGTAAATATCTATGACATTTACCAAATAAGTTGTATTTGTGTTTATTATTTATTTATTTTTAAATATTTTATTTATTTGACAGAGAGAGAGATCATAAGTAGGCAGAGAGGCAGGCAGAAAGAGAGGGGGAAGCAGTCTCCCCATGGAACAGAGAGCCCAATGCAGGGCTTGATCCCAGGACCCCGAGATCATGACCTGAGCCGAAGGCAGAGGCTTTAATCCACTGAGCCACCCAGGCACCCTGATATTTGTAAGTGTTTAAAAGAACATCTCTGGCTGAGCTGGTCAAGGAATGTTTCAGACAAGGTAGAATCTAAACTGGGACCATAAGGATGAATAGGAAGGTTGGAGATTGGTAGGCAGCAGGAGGGAGGAAAGGAAGACAATTTAGAAGACCTCCTTATCTTATAAAAGATTAGAGGGTAAATGGGGACAATGGGAAAGGAAGAAAGAAACTATAGCAAGAATAACAACTTCCTCGGGGAAGAGAGATCCTACTAGCCCAATCTGTATTTTTGAAAAACTCCCCAAAGAGAGTCTACAGATAAGGCTGATCTGGGAACCTGTGTAGAAACAGCAAAACACGAAGCTGTTTAGGTCGCTGGGGTCCTGAGGAGATTAGTAAGTCATGCTAAAGTTTTGGTGTTTCATGAAGACAAAGGAGAACCCAATTTCAAGCAGGAAAATGGTACTGTTATTTTTTTTAAAGGTGGCATTATGAACTTAATATTTTATTTATTTATTAAGATTTTATTTATTTAATTTTTAAAAAAGATTTTATTTTATTTATTTATGAGAGGCACAGAGAGAGTGAGAGGCAGAGGCAGAGGGAGAAGGCTTCCCAAGGAGCAGGGAGCCCTATGTGGGACTTGATCCCAGGACCCTGGGATCATGACCTGAGCTGAAGGCAGATGCTTAACCATCTGAGCTCAGGCTCCCTATTTATTTAACGGACAGAGAGAGAGGGGAACACAAGCAGGGGGAGTGGGAGAGGGAGAGGCAAGCTTCCCGGTGAGTAGGGAGCCTGATGTGGGGCTTGATCCCAGGACCCTGGGATCATACCTGAGCCAAAGGCAGACGCCTAACAACTGAACTACCCTGGTACCCCAAGAAAACAGTATTGTTAGACTTGGGATTTGGAAAGATTTAACTGTGGTAGCTGCATGGAGAGTGGTCTGGAGGGAGGCGGGAGACCAGCTTGACCTCTGACTATGGTAGCCCGGGCAAGACTTGAGAGGCTT